CCCCCCCGAACCCCAACACGAACGCTTTCTCCTTCGCTCCCACGAGTCGTCGGGTTGGGTGTCTATATAGTTCTCGCAAGAGTCCTATAGAGAGTCCACACTCCGGGACTTTAGTGTCCACCTCTGCCTCTGCCCAGCCTCGCGTCAAAAAGCGTCTCTTGGGAGCTGGCTGATGCCGAGAGGCACAGGAGGTCGACGGTGTCCTCCAGGTGGTCCGGCCGGGCGCTCCTCCTCGGAGGCTTTGACTTGGCCGGTCGAAGTGACGTCATGCGAGGCGAGGCGCGCGCGGGCGGGGAAGTCCCTGCCTGACGGCGTGCCGCCTTGGACGCCAAGTCCGCCCTCGAGAACGTCCTTGCAGACAATCTGCTCGCCGGAGGCGGCCTAAGGGAGGGGTCGCGGCTTCCTACGCTCGCACCATCCTGACTCGTCCTAGGCTTGACGCCGACGCTGGAGACAACTCCACCCGAATCGCGGTGTCCTCTCAGAGGTCTAGGCCTCCCCGCGCTCCCCGCGTGCGAAGGCAGCCCAAAGTCTGTCGACGCTCGGTTTCCCTTCGGAACCTTCGGGCCGTTCGTCGTGTCAGAGATGTCGCCGACGCCCTCTGCCGTCCTGTTGAGCACCGCTGCCGGTACGCGTTCGGAGTCATCGTTGTTGGGAGTGGGCTTGGAGGCGGTCGCGGGTTTGTCTGCCTTCTCGCTGTCGCCCCCGCGGCCTACGCGGCCCACGCAGAGGCAGCAGAAGGTGCGGAGCGCTCGGTACGTGGCAGTGATCTGCTTGGCGAAGCACACCGCCAGCCCGGTGGCCAGGGTGCACATGAAGGAGAACAGCAGGAACCGCGCCAGCGCCCACATCGCTCCCCCGCGAAGGGGGCTCTCTGCGCGGCAGTGCGATTGGGAATTAGATGTCAAGGGTGCAAGCCATGGGCGCGAGGCGCCGCCGGTGCGGTCGGTGCGGGCCCTCACCCTCCACGTCGACCAGCTGGTCGGAGTCGTCCTCGCCCTCGGCCTGCACGTGCACCGCGTCGGCCCGCTGCACCCGGCCGTACCCGAGGCCGTACTCCGCCTGCGTCAGGTACAGCGGCGGCCCCACCGCGGCCACCAGCCGCACGTTGACCCCCCGCCGCTCGCGACCTGCGGCGCCCTCGGTGTGGTCGCGCAGCCGCTCGCGGGCCAGCACCGGGAGCCGCCACTTTCCACCGGCGACTTGCGCGCGGGTCCACGACCCGGCCACCAGGAGCAGCAACGTCAGCTGCGCGGCCTGCATGGCGAGAGGGAAGTCCGGGGCGGTGGGATTGTTCTTTTGTCGCGGGTCTGTCCGCTGGTCGGTCGAGCAGCCCGGAGCGGGCGATTGTTGATTGTAAAGGCGCAGGCCCGTTCGATCCGCGCCGTTCCCTCCCTGGCAGGCCCCGTGCGAAAGCGGTGCCGTGGGAGGATTCCTGGAGTCATCAGTCTGGAGCGCGTCTCCAGCAAGGTGTACATCGTGGCCTGCTCCAGCGGGAGCGGGGTGCCGGGCAGGCAGGCCACCCTAGGCGACGCGCGTGCCTTTGACCCTCGCGCCGCTCTCGCTCTCTCTCGCTCTCTCGCGGACGTCTCAGGCGAAAGGCCCGATGGTTCGTGAAGCGGTTCGCGTGGTAGAAAGAGAGAGACGACGAGAGGAATAAAAAGCGACTCCATCCGTGCCGCGTCGTGCCGCTCCGAATGCATGCTGGCGCTGGCGCAATGGCTCGGCCGCTCGGCCCTAGCTCGGCCCGCCTGGCGTCCTTCCTCGCCCCCCCCCCCCC